TTATATAGAACCTACATTTTGAACTATTCAAAATTTTCAAAACTATTTTTTTTTAATATTTTAAACCTTTATAAAGCTTTTTCAAACAATATAAAATAGTTATTAAAATATAAATGCTCGTTAGTAGCTAAACTCAACCTGTAACACCTCTTAGAAATATAATATTACCATCATTAGGATCATCTTTAAGCCTTATCCTTCTTCAACTCTTATATAATATATGTTTTAATCCAGCAATATTTATACACTATCCTTTCTAGATTTAAAGACGACTCCTGTTAGCATTTGTAGGATACTGGGCACCTAAAGTAGTCTTGATACCTTTTGAAAATAAATATTACCATTATTAGCATCTTACTCTAGACAGATTTAAACCAGAGATATTATTTATATAAATCCAACACTTGTTATACATTATCCTTGGCCTTATGGTAAACTTCTGATAGAAATCATAAAACTCTAGTCCCTAGTATATACCCTGTAAAAAGGGCAGCCATGGGTGGCATTGGGTGGGCGTTCATTCAAGGCTATTGTTTCGCCAGGCGGCCAACAAAACTTTGCGTGCAGAAATTAATTGCGTGACCAACAAAACAAAAACAAAGTACAGGAAAAAATCAAAGCATAAAACAATAAGTGAAAGCAATTGAAAAAGAATTCTTTTATTTCACTTCCTCAAAAGGGAAGGAAGGAGCATATTGGGGTTGAAAAGTAACTAAGCTTTAAGCAGAGATACTAAAGGGAAAGCCTTAGTTATTCTTATTTATTTACAGCTCTATGAATAACTTAAAAAAATATATTGATCTAAGGACAATATGAACTTTACAAAAATGTTGCAATTTAATTTGCCAAATTAAGTTCCAATTCAACTTGTTCGTGTTCGTGTTTCCTAAGAATTTAAGTTTCAACCAATTTAAATTTCTCATCACAAAAACGGCAAACAAAAGCAACGATATTGGTATTAAAAAACATATACTATATATATATATAAATATAAATATTTGAGAGAGAAAAAAGAGAGAATAAATGCATTGTTGGATTGTGCCAAGAGAAATATCTAAATAATTCCCCAGCTTATTTATGCATTAAATAGTTGAACGACTTTTTCTCTCTCTCCACTCTTCTTTTAAATCCTTTCAAATGGTTTTATTTTTATATATGTTAGGAAAGCAGAAGAAAAGTTGAAAGTTTGTTGATTTACAAATTATTTATGTCATAAACAAAATGCCAGGGACAGAGATAACATTGACAAAGCATTTTGCAGAAACACCTTGAATGCATTCACACACATACAAGCCATGGTGAAATATTTCACGCTCAATTAAATTTTTCCTGATTTTTCTTGCTGGGCAGAGGCTTTTTTTCCTATTGCCTCTTTTTTAAATCCTTTTTTGTAAATATATATATTTTTTCCTCTCGATTTTTCTGTTCACTGACGGAGTTTGGATAAAATATTTGCGGCCGAACTGAACACTGACCCCAATCCCTGACCTGACCTGCACCGGATTCTGGATTCAGATTGTGACTCTGATTCCTGTTTCCCCCAAACCCCCTTCCCCGCCCCCGCCACCGCCCCAATTTTCCACCGCCTCTCCCCTGGGATTTTTCCCAGCCACACGCTTTGTGCTGGTCCCAGTTGGGGAATTTAATTCACATTGATTGCATTTCGAGCGCCGCATTGCGTTGCATTTTAAATAATGCCAGCGGCTTCTGATTTTTTGCACTCGTCCGCCGCGGGACGGGAAAATGTTGCCGGGGGAGGACATCACTTTAATTAAACAAATGCCAAGCGAAGGCGTCAATTTTTACCAGCCTCCTCCATTTACTCCTCCATTTTTTTTCTGCAATTTTTAAGATTGCACTCGGAGTGAAAAATAAAAAATATATATGTATATACACACATACATATATTCCACAGATGGAGTAGATTGATGGAAATGGTTTTTGGGGCTGGGCTGGGGGGCAATTATGAACTGCTGTCAGTCTATATAAACAAGCCATATAGATCGTTGGCAGCTGTTATCGTTTAAAATATACCAGGTGGCGCTAATAAGCACCATAGGCCCTTGGTAAGTTAAGAAAAAGTTTATTTATAACAAGACAGGAAGCTAACTTCCGCACGCCGAACTTTATATACCCTTGCAGATTGAAATTCGATCACTAGGAATATATACAATATAAATTATTTATATTTGTGTTAAAAAAAAACATTAAAGTAATACTGCTTTGTATGGCAGATATCTGATATAGTAGTCCGATTTTCATACAATTTTACACACAATTCTAGATTAATATATAATGGCCATGTATCAAATTTGACGCAAATCTGTAGAAAACTGGAAAAGTTATAAGTTTGTTTTTAAAATTTCCTATGGCATATATGTATGTATATAGTCCACCGATTCGCCATGCTCCGACTTATATTATAGTAAAATTATATAGAAGAATAACTCTATAGTTTCATTCACATAGCTTGCTCTTAAATTTGTTCTAAAATGTATCTCGCACATCTGTGCATATGATTCCCAATTGGTTCTAACATCCCCGGAACGAAGTGACTTCTACCAGCCAAGTCTCAGACATGTGTTGTGTTACAAAAGTTGCAAGTCATTGTTTGTTAGTGTTTAAAGTTAGTAACTGATCATACATACTTACTGGTCATAGATACTTACTGATCATAGTTAATTACTGATCTAGTTACTTAGTGGTCATAGATACTTGCTGATTATAATTACTTACTTATCATAGTTACTTAATGTTCATTGATACTTGCTGATCATAGATACTTACTAATCATAGTTAATTACTGATCATAGTTACTTAATGTTCATATTTACTTATTGGGCATAGATACTTACTGATCATAGTTAATTTTTGATCACAGTTACATACTGATTAGAGTTACTTACTTATCAAAGTTACTTAATGTTCATTGATACATACTGATCCTAGTTATATTATATAGTATTCCGATTTTAATGGAAGACTAAAAAAAAATTAATGTAATACGGGCTAAGAGCAAAGTGGAGGGTATCTCACAGATTAAAGGGTTTCTAAATGTACAGAGAAGTGTATTTAATTAATCGTTCTTTTCTCATTCTAGTTATCGATCTTGATCTTAATTCCTTTCTCGATCTCGTTCTCTTTTTCCTTCTCGTTCTAGTTGTGGTTATCTTTCTCCTTATTTGTCTCATTTTTGTTCTCTGTTTAGTTCTTGCTCTAGTAATCTTTCTCGTTCTCATTTTCATGCTCGTTCTCCTTCTCTTTCTCGATCCCAACTCCCTTCTCTTTCTCCCTTCTCGTTCCATTTCTTAGACCCTTCTCGTTATTGTTCTCGCCTTCGTGTTGAATCCCAGACATTTCGTACTTTGTGGCCAGCTGTCCCTCTTGGCCCGTTCCGCTCCTTTCGCTTCGTTTTTAATTATGGACATAATTATTTAATGAATATGTGTGAATACATTATGTCTGCCTGCATGTGGGTGTAATTATATGTCCAGACTTGGACCATTGTAACCTAGCGAGAAGGCAAATTCTGTATAGGGAGGGTTGAGGTTGAGTCTGGGCTTGTAAAGCAAAATCAATTTAATTTCGGTTGCAAACGATTGACCGGGAATAATAAAATCATCTTAAAATTCATGCAACGTAATTTTGGTTGGCATTTTTTTCCACCAACCATTAATTTTTGTTTTTTTATTATTTACCTTTGGTTTTTTTTTTGTTTTTTGTTACTCGCTGTATTTTTCATAAATCGAGTCTCGTTTGTATAATTTTAATCATCAGCAAAAACAACAATGAAGCTGTTCGAGGCACGCTGAGAAATAATAATAAATAAGCATATAATAATTGAAAATACAATTAGCATAATTGCTGGCAAAGGCAACGGCAACGGCGACGGCAAACGCAAAAAAGTATAATTAACATAATTAGTGTTTACACATATTTAGCCAGCATTATGGGACGGCGTTGCAATTTATTTTTTATGTTTTCATTTCATTTCAACATCGTGCTTTTTCTGCATTATCTCGTCACGGAAGCAACTTCTTCTTTCAAAATTGCAAACAATTTTGATCAAGAAAAATCACGAAAAAGTGTATGAATTTATATTTATTTGGCATTGGTTATCGGTATAAACAAAAAAAAAACATAAAAAAGGAATATATGTACATATATGTTATAATTTTAAATAAATTTAACAAACAGTTGGCCATAAATTCTCTAGAGCCACAAAATAAAATATATAAATATATATATATATGTATAAAATAGAGAAAAGTTCAAACTAAATTTTTGTTTGCTCGTAAATTTTGCTGGTTTTATGGGGAAAATGCTTATCAAACAATTTCCGCAAATGAAATCAAATATATATATGTATGTATGTGCCATGAACTCTTGCACATGCACACGTCATTTCTACAAAGATAAAACTTATTAAAATGTTTTTAGTTACATGGAACTTTGAAATTCTATGCCACTATTTTAAATACTTATATTTATGGAATTTAATTTAAATATTACAATAACTTCATAGCTGTTTATATGTAAAGTTCATGAGCTTTATAATTTACAAGTTTGTGCATTTATTTGTATACCCTTTCAGGGTATAATAACTTCAGTCAGAAGCATATAAAACAGTGAAGGAATCATTTTCGACCCTATAAATCATATATATTCTTGATCAGCTTTAACAGGAGAATTGATCAAGACATGTCTGGTTAATAAAATAAATTGTTGAAATTTTTTCAAAATTTTCGAAGGGGTTACATCGATAAAATTGACAAAAAAAATTTAAAAAATGTAAAATTTTAAAAAGTTTTAAATTAATATGCAGATTTGTTAACCTAATAAAAACTAACACAAAACAGTTTTCCGCTTGGAAATTAATCATAATTTAACTGAATTATGATGTACTTAATTTAGCGTTTTTTCTTATAACTTTTCTTCTATTAATAATATAATATTACCATGTTTCTATATTTATGTTTTATTTCTCTATATATTTACAGCTCCTCCATTCTAAATACAAAAATCCCTCTAAAAAAGGCCGGTTTAAGGTAAGAACACTCCCAGTTTTCTTAATTTATTACTTTATTGTAATAATTTATATACTTAATCAAACTCCATTAGTAGTTTCCCACCAATTGCAGTCACAGCTTCTTCTTGTTTTGTGTTTTTAACCAATAAAAAAGTGATCACTTGATTGATTTAATTATAAAACCTTTTTATGGTAATGATCCTTACTTCGTTTAGCCTCCATTAAGTCAAAACATTTTGTATGCATTTTCTGAGGTTTCTCATTTTGGTTAATTTGTTTTATTTCAACATTCCCCAACAGTGGCATTCCATCTCCAGTTGTTTTATTTATTTTAATGGTAGAAATTCCAGGGGACATTTTGAGGAATTCCTGTGACCAAAATTGGAGACTAGAGAACTTACGTAAATTCTGTTCTCCATATACATATATATATATATATATATATTATATATATATATAAAGCACAAAAAAATCAAGTTAAGCACTTGGACAGTGTCTGCGTACGTGAGGAATAATGGTATGAAATGGAATAGAGTGGAATGGAATGGCAAAAGGTATGAAATGAAGTGAAACAAAATGAAATGAAATCAGGCAAAATAAAATAAATAAATAAAGGCCCGGCGGAATAAGAAGGAGAAGTGCAGAGCAAGAAACTTTTGAATAACAAATGAAGGAAGGCTGCTGCTGCTGCTGCGGCACAGACAAAACCTGAGCGGACTTTTTAAGCAGATTCCCCAGCATCCAGGAAGGTGAGGAGGGATGAGGAGTAGGAGCTGGGCCAGAAGCCGTAAGAAAAAGCATCAAGAGTTGGTCTTTTTTCCCTCGTATTTTTTTCTTAGTTGTTTTTGCTGTTTCGATTCCGACTTGTGCTGCATCAGCATGTGAAGACGCAGCAGCAGCAGCGGCAGCCACAGAAGCCGCAGCCAAAAGTCAGAAAGTTAAGCGTGTCCCCCTCACCATTTCCCTGGACTTTTTCATCAGATTTGACATTCAAGGATTAGGCAGAAAAAATAGCCAAGAAGGTGCTTAGAGTGGGTTGAAATAATAATAATATTATTGAAGAATTAATTATGTTAAAAAGTTTGTAATTTTTCTTAGAAACTTAATAAAGGTCTTGAGAATTTTTGATTAATTTATGAATATATTCCCATATTTCCTAAATAATTAACTTTTACATTACACCTTTTCTATGTCAGATTTAATATTTTTAGAGACTTAAATATCATTGATTAATTTTATAACATTCTAAAATATTATAGATTAATTTTAAGAATATTTTAACATTTACATATTTTCTAATTATTTTTTGTAAAAAGCTCCTTAAACTTTTTCTAAGTCAAAATAAATGTAAACAAAGAAATCATTTCAGAGGAAAAAAGTATTTGCAATACCTTTATATATAATTTTAAAAATTATATTAATTAAAGTAAATGTTAAGATTGTCGAACAATATCTTTGGCAATAGTATCTTTTATTTTTTTGGCTTTTAAAACCTCAAAAAATATACCGCTAAGTTGGCTATAAAAGAGCCAACTTCCCATTGTCCGCGAGCAACGCGTCGTATACGTAATCTGCGGCTGTCTGATCACTCACACGACCTGTCGCCCCGCTCCCGGCTACCGGCTCGCAGCTTCCAACTTCCAGCTCCTTGCTCCCCATTCCCCATTCCCCGTCTCTTTCTCTCCCTCTCTCTGTCTCTCTCTCTCTGCTTCCCCCGCTGACCTCATCCGCTCATCTCATCCGTTTGTTTGTTTGCCAGTTGGTTTTGTTTGGTGGCATGCCTCGACTCGGCTGCTGCCTTTAGCCTGATACGCCACTGAGTAGCAGATTAGTAGCGCTTATGCTTGCACCTACTACGTGGCACATGGCCATGGGCGAAGCCAGAGGGGGGAGGGGAGTGGGAGAGAGGGGATAAAGGAGCAGCTGGGGTAAGCAGGAGGGGGGAGCATTGGGTAACGGGGACTCCTCACGCATTTGAGGATACAACAAAAAAAATCCGCGTTACTCGTTCCCCAAAACTCAGAAGCAAGCCTTGTGTCCATCAACTTTTTTAGGGTATTCTATGATTTAATATATTTAAGCATATCTTAAAGGGAGTTTAATAAATAGATCAGGTAATAAAATAGAGGGGTTTAAGTATCTTAAGAGTCTTTTTATAATATCTATAAATTAACCTAATTTAATAAATAATAATAAAATAGACTAAAGGATATTATAAAAGACTCATATTATATATTGATAAATCTTAATTATCGGTGCTTGATTTAAATTAATTTTTATACTGGAAAAAATCTATTTCAAGGCAAAATATTTGAAATTATTCTACAAAACTTTCAATTTATACTTTAACTTGACTTTAATTTATTATAGATTCATTCTTTGGCTTAGCAAATGATCATTTTTCAACAATTTAACTGCCAAAACAAGAGTATTCCCAAAACCTGTGTTGACCTGGCTTTAATGGTATTCCTTGGGCCTGGATTTCAGTGTTTTTTTTTGGATTTGAGCTGAAGTTTGGCATTTTTTTTGTTGCCGTTCCGTTTTTCTTTTCTTTTTTTTTTTTTGTTTGTGCGCGCCGTCTGTTATCCTGGTCGCGTCTTGGGCTGCTGTCATCTGATCTGTGGCGTGGCTAAGTGGCCTCTTCGATGTGCCCCTGTGGAAACCCCTTCTGGCAGGCAGTCCATGTATCCCCGAAACCCCCTTTAGCCGATCTGTCCGTCCATCAGTCGCATCCATCCCAATCCACCCGCCATGACATGACTCGCTTTTGGCTTTCCTGCATCGCATCGCATCGCATCGCATCGCATTGCATTGCATCGCATCGCATCTCCTCCACTTCATGGTTGTCTGGCGTATGCGTTTGGAATTTTTGATTTTGCCACATTGCAGTCTACAGTCTGCAGTCTGCACAAGTCCTACAGGCCATGATGGTCCACACAGTCAATATGCAGTGTACAGTGTATATAGTACACACACACATCCTTCTCATTGGTACTACTGTGGCTCTTTACTTACATTTTGTTTGTTTTTGTGTCCACTTTTTTTGTTGTTGTATTTTTTGTGTGCTTTATTTTTGCTGCTCTTCGGTGAAGCAGATTGAATTTTGATTTGGCGGGTAATTGAACTTTTACTACAGCAGCCAACTGTCCTGTCCTGGCCAGAGTGACTCCACCTCCTTCTTGGCGGAAACCCGTCCATTTCTTGGCTCTCTGCCTCTTCTTCCCTCAGTCTTGGCCAGCCTTGCCAGTCTTTTCTGCCTTGGCCATGATTAATGGCCGGCAATGCGCAACGCACGATCTACGTTTTTGGCCTCATCATAAATTATTAAACAAGTCCACTTGACACATGCACATGGAGCTGAAGCTGGAGCTGGAGCTGGAGCTGGAGCTGGAGCTGGAGCTGAAGAGCTAAAGAGCTGGGTAGCTGGTGGGGATTGAAAGAAACTCCACAATATAAATGACCAGAACGAGATGGAAGTCCATCTCCCCTGCCTCCTCTCCATAACAAAACTGTACAAAATGCTCTCAGGCTCTGGCTCTGGCTCAAGCTCAGTCTTCAGTCTCAGTCTCAGTCTCAGTCTTCAGTCTCAGTCTCAGTTTCTTCTTGGATGTCTTAAAGACAGAGACTCTCCCTCCGTCTTACAGTTACCCTTCTCCATTTCAGGGGCTCATTCTGAGAGATCCACACAACATTTTTGGCATTCCCCAGACACCGAAAACGGTAAAAACGAGACATGTCCAAGCTGAGAGATGACAAAGACAAAGTCGCATCTTGAATCAGGCTGAGACTGCTCTTTTCCCTCCTCACTCACTCTATCTCAGGGGCAATGTATAAATGATGATATACTTACTTATAAAGTGATCAGTGGATCGTCTTGTATAAATTGAGAAAAACCGGCAGAATTAACTAGCAGGGAATTAATAACGAATGGGAAGGTACCCTCTCACTTGAGAAAACTATAGAATACTATTGTTAAAACATCACAAAAAGAACACTATTTAAATTGAAACTTATTAAAGCTTTATAATAATAATTAACAATAATAAATAATGATACCTTGTATCCCTTAACTACCAGTTATTTCGCGTTCTAAAGTGTCCTTTTGGATAATCCCTTCCCCTTTTCTGAACATCTTCCTTTACTTTTGACCAAAAACAAGGCAACTTTAATGTGGCATTTATGAAAATCAACAAGACTCTTGGAGACCCAAAGAGACCAAAGCCTTTGTCTAAGATTGCGGCTGGTCGTGTCTTTCCACTCGATTTAAGTACAAATTATGTGGCACCAGGGAGTTGGCATTCGTTTTGGTTTTAGATAGTGTCCTTAAATGCGCATTTTTATGAAGCTCAAAACGGCGAGGATAATGTTTAGATAAAGCGGAGGCTAGAGGGAAAATTTTAAGCAAGTATTCGAGGGTTTTTTGGTTTATTAAATTTCAAATTTTTTAAACAATACAAGATTCTCTCTTAAAACCTTTTGATCAGCTTTAAGGTTACTTTAAAGCAAGGAATGGTTGTCATTTTTCCCACTAACTTGGCCCAGGTGAAAGCATTTATGTAGCTACAATGCTCAGATAAGAAAAGTAACGCAACGAATGCCACCGAAAGGTGCTAAAGTTGATAGCAAACACAGAAAAGGGAAAAAAGGAATGCCAAATACATGTATATATATATTTATATATATATAGGGGTATAGGGATATGTCTAGGTTAAAAAAAGGAGCCAAGGAGCAGACACCGGAACAGGCAACAAAACGCAACCGAAGCGTTGCAGGCCAAGTTCCCTCTGTCCTTGCTCCCTGCTCCCTTATTTTGTTTAACCGCCGACGACAACGATGGGAACTGCAATATACAAGTGATGACGATGCAACCGCGATAAGGAAAACAACCCACAGAACCAGAAAAAAGAGAAAATATCTATACATATATATATATATAAATGTACAAGGGGAACCGAAGAAGTGGTCGTCTGATGATTTCAGCAATAATAATGACAACAGCGACAACATTTCATAATAATC